AATAATTTTATTTTTAATTAACAAACTTTGTCCATTTTTTGTGCTTTGTTTTTTTTTTTTTTTTTTTTTTGTTTGTTTTTTTAGTGTAAGAGAATGACAAAAAAAACACATGAAACAATAAATAGGAGAAAAAACAATTGATATATATTACCGTATCAATGAATTTATGTATGCCCTGGAAAAAGAATAGGATAACTGGTTCATTTCTCAATATAACTTAATCTATGCCATATATTTGAATATTTGTATTCTTGTTTCAGAGAATAACTTACCTGAAATATTGATGTATAACGATATGCTGATTCTTCATTAATTTGTGGACCATTTTCTAATTCTGGTTCACCAAAACCAGTCGAAAATGCCAATTTCTAAAGAGTAGAAGTGAACCTATTTAATATATAGGATGTTATTTGAATAATTAGACAAAGGTGATACATTGGTCTACTAACTCTACTACTACTCCATCATATTTTTTTTTTTGTATTTTATTTCTCTTATAATTTTCAAATGACGAGTTATTCAGAACTGCGGAACATCTCAAATTAAAGAGAAGAAAAGTGTACTGATGATTTTGAGATATACCTTTATATGATCTGATAAGTTTTGAAAAGCAGACGTTTGTATTGTGGAACTCCCTCACTGTCTTCGAAGAAGAGGGAGTAACAGTTTTATACCTCAAAACCGCTGGTTTTTAAGGCAAATTTGCTCTTCGCCCTTCTGGAGGACACAACCTCTTAAAGTGCCCAGTCAGTCATAGTCATTCCAAAAACTGCAGGATCCCAAAATTTACGAAAACCTTTACACATTTAGCGAATGTAGCATATCAACACGCAGGAAGCTGCGAGTGTAGGGAAAATAACACGCAGGAAGCGCACGTAGCCATGGAAACAGAGGCTTTACTCGCGTGTTCCGTGCATGTTATTTGTATCGAGTTCGTCGTTTCTTGCGTGTTGATATGCTACATTCACTAAATGTGTTACATTTTTCGTAATTTTTGGAATCCTGCAGTTCTTGGAATGATCATGACTGGCTCGGTGGTAGTCACAACCTCTGAACGTAACTAGGTGTCTTAGTATTGGAAGTTTCATCTTTTAGCACCTTTAGGTGCTACCCTGTTTTTATCACGTATTCTGAACGAAAGATCGTATAAAGTATAGGTCTCATCTCAAAATCTTTGGCATACTTTTCTCTTTAATCTGAAATTTTCCTGAGTTCTGAATATCTCTGCCGTTCAAAAATTATAAGAGATTTCACTTCGATGGCAAAGTTAGATGGCTAGATCGATAGTTAATACAGATTATTCAATAAAAATTGATAATATTTCATAATATCTTTTTTTCTTCAATATACTAACTTTGATATCAAAATCTTCTTCTTTCTTATCGTCTTGATCATTAAGATTTCCACTTTGTCCACCTCCTTCCTTCCCTTTTTTATATACCCATAATTCTGATTTTTCTACAAATAATCTTAATTGATCTAAATCTCGTTTAATTTGTTTATAATTTTTAATATCCGTTTCTGATACTAATAATTGAACTTGATTTAAATGTTGTAATGTTTCTTTTCGTTGATTAAAATGTCGAAATAAGAGTGAAAGTGCACGACTAACTAATGGTTGATAATCATGCATAACCAAATTTAATAATACTTTTAAAAATGTTTTTCCTTTATCATTATCTAAATCTAAATTGGGTGAATCACAATCGAATATACATTCAATATCAGCTGAATTTAAATCCATTCCAATATTTGTAGGAGAATCTAAAAATACAATGAGTAAATAAACAGTTAATTATAGTCATACAAACAAATATGTTTACCTATTCGATCATATTTTTGTTTAAATATTGAGATTAAACGAGATATCCGAAAATCAAGACGAATATCGAGAATGAACTAAAATAAACATGATAATTTCTCATTTTATTGATAAAGTTACTAAGACGCGTTGATAAAAACAAAAACAAAAAATTAGACAAACCTCTAAGATAGCAATGACATTCATTTTTGTTTCATATGCGAGATCATCGAGTATTTCTGTTTGTTGTTCAGTAGTCGTATCAGCAAACACACTCCCAGCATTTGGAATAATAGCAGTAGTTGTAAGTGTTGATAACGCATGCTCATATTTTTTAGTTAACTTTTGACCACCAATAATCAATGGAAAACCTCCTAAAAGTCATAATTATTCCTCGATTATGTTTTTATTCTAACAATTTTTCCATTTCTCTCAGAATCAAAGAGCAGAAAGATTTGTTAATATCAAACGGATTGTAAAACTTAACAAAATAAATTTCGTCATTCCTATGGTACGTTATATTACACTGGAATCAATTAAAATATCTATCGTACACCATAGAAAAATTAACATACAAGTGTGTTTCAAATGTGTTTAAGAGAACAAAAACTGTGTTTTAATCTGTATAATTTTGTTAATAAAATTAATACAGATTTAATTCTCATGACTTATAGTATAATGTCGCTTATTTTAGAGAATTCTGCAGTATTGTGAACATTTCTAGGATTAGATCGATCCTATTTTTCACTCATTTGTTAAAGAGTCCGAAAAAGACGTGAAAATGTTTAAACATAGATATTCGAGTGTTCTCTTTCTGAATATGTCGTGAGAATGTTTTTGAAGTTTCTTTATAAAACGTTTTTATCAAAAAAATTCCTCTGCTTTATTTTCTGTGAAAATTTATAAGACTATTCAATTTTTTTCTGACGAGGGAATCTCTTGAGATTATAAATCGCTTTTGAACTCAAGAGTACTTTTATCTTGTAGATTTCAGTGAGTAGTGAAATACCCTAAGATGGTTTGTGCCCATGGTGCTTTGTTGCTGAGATACTGAATTTTTAATCAGTCTTTGCCTATAGAGCTTGGATTTCGAGCAAAATTCGACGTTCGAATTTTGATTTCAAACTTGTCACACCTGTAGCCCATGGTCATAGTAGTACGACGGAAAAATATTCAATGCTAATGAATTTTCCTGCCTTGAAATATTGAGACTCGAACATTTCATCAGAAGGTAAGGGTAAGGGTGAGGGTCAAATTCGAAAGTCGAATTTTGCTCGAAATCCAAGCTCTGTAGGCAAAAACTGACTAAAAATTCGGTATCTCAGCAACAAAGCATCATGGGCACAAACCAAGTTAGGATATTTCACTACTCACTGAGATCTACAAGATAAAAGTACTCTGAGTTCAAAAGCGATTTATAACCACAAGAGGTTCCCTCGTGAGATGAACTTTTCATTTTGTAGGTCAACTGTTCTTTAATGTTAAAAAAGGAGGGATAAATTTTTACTTCACTTTGGGTTTGAGCTGTTTTAAACGCTATATCGACAAATCCTGCAGAAAACCACTTTTCAAACAACATCAAAACTTTTCAATCATGCCACTTAGAATGAATTAGATATACTCATACTCTTTCCAACAAAGTCATTATTTCAAATTTATTTATATTCATATACGACAGAAGAAAGTTAAATAGGTCTTATAAATTTTCACAATACTACAGTTATAATAGGCTATGGTAATTCCGTAGTCGAGTCTCTAAATACAATCAAGCATGCGGTTTGATCATTGCTTTTTTTAGAAGATTATGTACGTGCTGTACAATTGGTGTTAATCAGCTTTAATAATATTAACACGCCTCAATAACATATGCTCGTGTTATTCTATCTAACAATATTTTTGACTCAATAGTTATTTACTAGATATCTCATATTGTGTCTACAATGTCTAGATAACCTTATACTTTTTTTAATTCGACTTATTGTTGGAGGTTGTTTATTCGACGTTTTTGTTTGATAAAATGTTTAGAGTGGATCATGTGGGCACAGATGTCTGTCTTATGGATGCAAACTATCTTTCAGCAGTTTATCAATATTCTTTTTATTCCTACAGTGTTGACTATAGAATAAATGTAATTTGTATTCTACTATCTGACTTCCCAACGGTCCTTTCAGAAAAAAGAGAAACGTTAAAAATTTTTTAAGAAGAGCGTTAGATAAAAAAGAGGAGGCATTTTTGGGCCGAAAAACGGTACTGACAATGTTGTGTACACCTCAAAGTGGCTTAAGACTCTCAAAAAAGATTTCATCCTACTTAAAGTATTTTTTTACGTGTTTCACGAAGAAAAAACGAAGAAAAATACAGGGAAAAGGAGTTATTCTAGTTTAACACCGAACATATCTGACTGTTTCAAATAGCATCGCTAACGAATGTGATATTTTCTTTCAACTCTCTGATTTTTTCACGGTGTTTATCTTTCTTCATATGCTGTACTATCGACTGCCATCCTCTGTTCCCACAATCTAATTCGCTGGTTTTACACAATGTACATACGAATGTCGGTTCCTTAGTACCTTGCTTTAACCATCGTCTCACAGGGATTTCATCTACTGTTTTCTGTAACCACGAGTGACTGAATTTTGTTTCATATGACGGCATTGATAAAAAAATATATCTGAAACTACTTTCAGATCTAAAAATAGCGGGAATTCTGTTTTTTTGCTAAAAAATTCCAGAAAAAGAGGAGAACGAGGAGAGATCTTGGATTAAAGAGGAAAAAGAGAATCATTCACAAGCCAGTCTACTATTAAATATTTACCTTGTTCATTTTGTGTATTATTTGTCAATGATGTTAGAACTTTCGATGTATCCAAAATACCCAACAGTGTTTGTGTTAATTTTAATAAATCTTCAAAACTATAAAAGCCAAAAAATATTAAACGACGAGCCAAATTAACAACCTAAAATAAAAGAACATAAGATTAATAACATATAGAAAAAATATGATATAACGAAAAGAAATGCATACTTCATGAGTTAGTTTATTTTGTTCTCTATCACTAAAAGAATTTGGTTGTTCAACAACAGTTTTTAAATAATCTTCAACAAATTTCATTGTTGTTTCGAATCTTGGACGATTTTCATTTTTTTCTACAGGTTCCAATGAATGACATTCATCATAACTAAAATTATGAAACACAAAGGTTTCGCATGAATTTGAAAGTTGCTAATGAGTAGGGATACACTATTTTTATGATCAAAAACGTCTATAAAATTTTTTAGTATATTATATTACTTAACTTCTTCTATCTTACCGACGACTATACTGTTTGGTTTTTTAAAATTTGTTACTAACAAATTTCATTAGCAGCACACGTCTGCCATTATGCCTTCGACCTGCAAGGATGGATGATGAAAAAGTTTCAAGATAGAAGTGACTGAAAACGTCGCATTATTACATTGTGCTGACAATGGTGTGCTCAATAAATCTCAAAAAAATGAAATCAATCAATATATTACTTTTCGTTAATAAATTATTTTAAAAGTATTTGACTATTACTACAACAAACAACAACCGACAAATACTAGATCACGAAAGTTTTTCACATCTGTTTAGTCTACAATCACTCAAAATCATTATATAGCAACTAATTCTATATAAAAACACTGTATAATTTTTTTTATCAAATTAATGTAAAAAGTCTAACGAAAGTAAAAAAGGTTAGTATAAAACCTATCTTCGTTTCTTATAGGCATTAGTTCAATAACACTACTGTTAAACGAGAAGTTATAGCGTTTATTGTGGTGTGTATGTGTGTGTGTGTATACATTTGTTTATATACGTGAAGGTCTTTCTTCTTAACTTACCACATCTTTAAACTAAACAGCATTAGACGAAAATACGCACAGAAGTATAATCCGAAATATTGATAAATAAATATATATGTGTCTTACTCGCTCAATGACACTTCTGTTTTCACTTGATTCCATAATCTGGCATATTTAATTCTTGTTACTTCTTCTTGTGGATCTCTGTTGACGTGCATATGAACCATTAAACGACAAAACGATGCACGTAATGTACCAGGTAAGTTTTCGCTCTTTGTACATCTATAAGAAAAATGAAAAATTAGAAATAACATAATACTACCTTCAAATTATATATTTCATACGTTAAAATAAGATCGATAGATAATTCTGGTGAAAGATTATCAATGGCCAAATATTGACGATCAAAACACATATGAGAATATAAACTCAACTGATATCTGAAATGATGAATATAGCCATGTTGTGAGTTTATATGACACAGTCTTCAGATTAACCAGTATAGCAAACAAATGACAGGATAAAATAGGAAAGCGTTTAATAATCGTGACCGTAAATAATCGAACAGTTCACTACTTAAAAAGTCTAAAATCTCGCTTCTCCCATATATAGATTCCGGTGTCCTTTACAGGCAAACATCTTCGATGTAAGATTTGCAGAATCAAATATTTGCGAAAAACTTTTGTGCAGTTATCAAAATGACCATACTCGAGAAAATGTTTGTTCTTTTGTCCTCAAACATACTAATACAAAAGGAAGTTTTTTCATCTTTACCAAAAAGATTCCATTTTTAACGCATGCTGGTGAGCTAACAAATTTCGTTTAGACATCAATCAATGACATTACTCTGATTTCGAGTCTAAACCAGCAGAATGAGCATATCACAACGGTTAAGTGTTCGACTCTTTATTTACGGTTACGATTAAACGGGCATATCTAGCATAAATAAAATTTTCTGTATACCTGTAATATTCTAAAATATTTCGAAATTCTTCTCGTCTTGGATGTGCTAATTGATCTCGAACAACACCAGCCATAAATTCGATTGATTCAGATTTTCCATCCCATGTTAAAATGACTTCACGTAACATATTTTGCGATGAAAGACCGGTAGGCAGTGAATTATTATCATCTAATATCATATCTTCTACACACGGATTTAATTCCAATCTATAAAAATTGAACAATTATTACAACAATGTATACACTATTAACAATTTAAATAATACTTTGTTCGAATGAGTATATCGGAATTTTTTTCTAACACGGATTTACAAATCATTTCTTGCGTACGAGCAATTGCTTGACTACTTGATACACATAAATCAGATAAATACTCAAGAAATCTAAATAAACATCATATTGAGATGATATTTTTCAGTAAATAAAGAGGAAAAACGATGAAGAAAACATTTTTTCTTCTCACGAAGAAAGAGTTCCAAGCTGTAAATCGCTTTTTCGATGAAACTACTAATCATAGTATCATTCAATGATATTTTGAAAAACTAAAACTTATAGAATATAGACAGTTTTTGCTGTCGTTTACAAACAAAATGATCGGTTCAGAAAAATTTTCTGGATTTGTTCTCTAGTTTTCTGAAGATTCAGTTTTTAGAAAACCGGCCAACAATAGTCTAAGGCCAACTCTGACATTCATATTTGGAATCACCGTCATCAACTACATATAGTCGACGTAGTTTTATCGAAAAAAACGATTTGGAACTGGAGATCCTTCCCTCGTCAGCTCTAGGCAAATATTTTTGTGAAGATATATAAAATTATTAATATTTTCCACTCTGTTTCTTACTTGCAATCTCTTTTTTCTCTTAATAATTTAACAAATGTATCAATTTCTTTTTCAGTAATATGTTTTTCTAATAATTTTTTATTATTATGTAATAAAGCTGTTATCGTATCTTCAGCCAAAATATCATAGCCAATTTGTGATTGCATAAATGAAAATTCTTTAGCAATTGTTTCCTATAAAATAGTATACATTATCATACAGAGTGGCACATAACCTTTGCCTCCCTCCCTCTAGAACCTAAAGAACAGATAATACCACAATGTGTTCATACCAAATTAAAGCGCGTCAAAAACTGGATTTAT